TTCAACAGCAACTGAAGTTGGAAGTGGTATTAGTTTAAAAACTAATCAGCTACCACAAGGCTTGATGAAATCTCAAAAAAAGTCTCTTAGTCCACACTCTGCTCGAGTCAGGGCCAACTATACTTACTGTCAGTCCTGACAGATGTTTGTCTAATCAGCTGTTAAATATCTCTCCAATCTATTGGTTGCAATATCCAACTTAAATCTTCCCTGCTGCAACATAAGGCTATTATTTCTAGTTCTATCCAGCAGGCATATGGAGAACATATTATTCCCATCCTCTTTGCAGCAGCCTCTTATAGTCTTCGGGAGTTTAACACCTCCTCCCCCTTCTCTGCTTTAGGCTAAACAATCCCAATTTGTTCAACATTTCCTTGCAGACCACGTTTTCTAGAGCTCTCCTTATTCTCGCTGGTCCTCTGGACTCTCTCCAGTTTGGGCGCTCTCCCACTCAAACATGTCTTTCTTGAAGTGCTGGACCATATTGCAGCTAAGCCATCATCTGCTGGGAAATCAGGAGGGTTCCCTCCTGCCTACAGCCCAGCACAGTGTTTTTCTTCACCTGAGCCAACCTCAGGTTAAAGCTCATGGCCTACAATAGCTTTCACTTCTTGTTACTCAGCCAGTTCTCCACAGTCCGTTCGCACAGCTGAGAGCAGCATATTGCACTTGTCTCTACTGAATGGCTGCCTCCACTAATCAGGTCACTTGTCCAATTTGGTGAATCAAAATTAAGTTGAAGATCTTAAAGGCAACAAGAAGAAAATGGATGCTAAACAAAATCTAAACCTGTAAACCCATGATCCAAAGAAAAATAGTTTTAAAATATTCTTGGATACAAGCACCCGTCTGCACTTATATACTCAAAGTATGTACTAAATATATAGTATTCTACATATTAAGAATACAGGAGTGTAAATTTTCCCCTATATGAATCTCAAGACATGGAGTACCCATTTCAGTGAAGAATCATTTTCTACTAACATAGAGATGACAGAAGGAATAAGAGACCAAAATTCAGGAAGAGGCTTCTCTACAAAGTTATGCTGGAATTTAAAGCCTGAAAATATAAGGTGAAAGAAGAGTTCCTGAATAATTTATCCTAGAGTAAGTGTCCACATTCAAAACGATTCAGAAATAGCTCGGTCTGGAATAACAAGCCCCTCAATGAAATACCAAGAGATCTCTCACGCATCTAAATCTTTTATGGTAATTTCCAGCCTGGAGGCTGTAAAACTGGTTGGAAAATCTATGCACAAAAACAATACCAAAATTCAGCTGCCCTTCCTTTTCCTCCCAAAGCTCATCTCCTAAAGCTTTTCTCACATTGGCAGCCCTTTGTGAGGAATGAGAGAGAGGCTATTAGAGGAGAGACATAACCTGGCATTTAATCCACAATGGGATGAAGGAATGAAATGAGAATTGAACATTTATTTAATATTGTGCGGAGGGAGCTCAGCCCTGGGTAAGAATACAGAGCTATTTTAGAGGTACTGTTCTAGTCCTAACTGCCACTGCAGGCCTAATTTTCAACGTGAATGTTATTTTGATGCTTTTTAAGATGAAAGTACATCATTGCCTATTTTTCTGCTGATGTCTAAACTTGAAAAGCTATATAATATCCTTTCTTTTGAATAAGGGAGCTAAACCAAACACCACATTTGAGCTCCCTAAAGGGACTCGCAAGAAGAGGCAGCACCCCAATGTCACAGGTTGCACATCATTTAGAAAGCTCATGCTCATGTCTTCATTTTCTTTCCTACCAGGAAATGTTTCTGTTACTAATCTCGGTGCTACCGTGCAGCGCCACTTCTCTCTGCATCTTTGTCTTTCTGCCAGCTTCTTTGTTGTCCATTTAGACCATACACTTGTGCAGTCTGTGCACAATGCCTAGCATAACTCAGTGTACAGCAATCTCTCTATTACAAACATGCACACCCTGCACTACCTGGACCAATTACACTTACAGATTTACATCCTGCAGGTAGTTGACTACATGTTGCAACCTCAGCTGAAGCTTCTCCTGAGCCTGGGACATCAGCCACCACACATCAATGCCCTCGCTCGCTCTCTGCCCTTGCCTCCCCTCCTGTGGGCTCTTCAGCATCTTTTCCCTCACTCCCAGTTTAAACGTGGCTATCAGGCAGCACAGTTATTTTGGGAAGTAAATAAAAAACGTGGGCAGTCAGGCACAGTGTCTGTTGCTGCACGAGTCAAACTAAAAATGATACGTTGCAACTGAACAGTTCCCCATTTTATCAGAAACCTTCATGAAGACCAGGGAAGCCGACTGAGATTGACAGAGTCTTGACTGGAAACAAAATATTTGAAACCTATTTGATCAAGAACAAAAAAAAGACAAAAACTTGGCAAAATAGGAAGAATAACACCACAACCCCTGAGTTTTCCCTGTATTACAAGGAAGAGCTTTTTTTCTTGAAACCTTTTGCTGAACAGATGGAGTCTGGCAAGAAAATCTACTCCTGCAGAGTGACACTGCAGCCTACCTGTGTAAACCACTTTGCGCCGGACGGTCAGATTGACGTGACCTTGTTTGGCTGCCTGTTGCATAAGCTGGACGACAAGCTGGTGCGATTTCCCGACAACGGGTGTTCCATCCACGCAGATCAGTTCATCACCCGATCTCAGGCGGCCGTCAGCATCAGCAGCACCCAGCGGTACAATGTGACCGATGTAAATCTGATGAATTAACACAAACAGGAGGAAAGACAGAAAGATGGAAAGGAAGGAAAGGAACAAAAATAGTGATAAATAAGAACTCGCTCAACAGCCAGCTGGAAGCAAGGGGCACTGGTAGTTAAACCCAATTTAGCAGGGACAAGAAATTGTTGACAAATGTCTGCTGGTCAGGAAAGTTGCTGCTGTGAAAGCAGCTCCATGTGGATACAGCCACATTGTGAAACTGTAATACATTGACATCTTGTTTCTTTAGGCGGCCCATCCACTCTAATGACAGATAGCCTTGGGAAATGTGTTCAACCAGACAGTGACCAGAGAGGAAGATGGTTAAAAGCACTGAGGGTCTTGTCAGGGAAGCTGAGATTAAGTTATCCTTTCAGTTGCCTCTAGGCTTTACAAGCTCCGTACCACTCGCCTGTCCACAACCTCAGTCTTGGTTGATCTTCAGTGAGTTCTGTGGAGTTACTCTAACATGAGAAGAATTCATGGCCTCTCTTTCCATAAATGAGCAAAATAATTTTGGCAGGGAAATACGTGGAAATTGATGCTGCCACTACACAGCTTTGATTTGTGCAGCACATGAAAGACCGCAAGTTTTTAGCCTGACACCTTCCACAGGCACTGGATTTATGGTAAAGAAGTTAAGCAAATTCAAGGAGGGAATTGAGCAAATAGAAAACCTGACAGTCTAAGATCAAAATACTTCCAAACCTGTCCAGGTTATCCTTTCCTTGGTGTCCAGGCAATTTCAGACCTACGTGTTTTCAGCTGGGCTATCACAAAAAAAGGGAGTAGCAGGGGAAGCCAAAACTATTTCAATTATGGGAGTTTTAGTTTGGGTTTTTTTGGAAGGAGGATAGGGAGGAGCTGCAGGATGTAAACACATAGACACTAATGAACAGAGATGCTACAGTACAGTTCTGCAGATCTGCACATGCTACTGCCATGAGTTAAAACACGACCACTTCTAGATATACTCACAGGTTCTCCAGGCTCATTTCCACCTAGAATCCTAAATCCAAAACCGGTTTCCTTTCTCCATAGAAAGATATCCTGCTCTTGGTAATCTGGAACTGAAGGAAAAGAAGGAAAACTGTAATTTTTAATCAAAACCCACACCTTTCTACCTAAATGAGGACTACTCTGAGGTACGCGTAGAGGGATTTGCTGCACAATCTTACTCTTTAAATGAGGCAGTCCTGGAATTTTAGACATAATTATGAAAATTTATAATTTTAAATACTACAGGATTATTATTTAAATCACTACTAAAAATTATATGGTGGTTTCTACTTTCTAGGTATTTAATTGTGACTTGCCATTTGTTTATCACTATAATATTTCCTTCCATCAATATTAGCATCATTACTCAGTGCAAGAGCCTCTTCCAAATCATCAATAAATAAATGTGTTCAACAGAGAATCACTCTGCCAGAAACAATACAGCTGCTGCCTCTTTCATGGGAGACAAAAGAGCCACTTGTTATGACTTCTACTGTTTAATTAACTTTCACGAGCACAGTTTGCTATCAGTCTACTGACACCACTTTAAATAACTATGGGACAGATCCCCAACTGGTGTAAAACAGAAGGGCTCCACTGAACCAAAGCAGCTCTCCTGACTCTCACTTGCTCATGTATGGGCTCTGTAAAACTATTGAACAGACAAAGCCAGCTGGAAACATAAAAAAGCTCAACCTCACCTACTCATTAGTATGGAACACCAGCAAGGATTTTACAATGAATATTACATACAGTGAAGTACTAACCTTGAAGTGCAGTTGAACAGTAATGTTTTATATTAACTTATTCATGCTTCCTTTCATCCCTTTTTTAAAAATGCAAAATTAATTGCTAACATTAAATCATATCAGAAGACAACTTCAGGTTCATTTAATATTTATTGGTTAGTATCTGTAACATTGACTAATTTTGTAATGATCCCCTCCCAAAATTTATAATTAATGATAAAAGAAGCTGTTCCTTTACAAGTCAGCTGCCTATATCTGTAGTAAAGAAACCAAAGTGTATCATTTAGGAATGTAATTAAATAAGTGCATACTCAGATACGTCTAATGAAACACCAGCTAGTTTTCTGTATCTGTGAGCAGATAAACTGGTTGTTTTCCATCGACATCATGAGTGTCAGATTCACTAACTGCATTTTACACTGTCGCTGCCTGTTGTGCAAAGGTTTGGATGTAGTCACCTGGTGCTTTTAAGTGTTAAGACTTTTGGTTAGCTCTGATGCTCTGTCTTCAATGACTCAACAGGTTTAAAATATAATATGAATTTAAGACCTGTGAATGGTAAAAATTAAAAGAACAGGTGGGTGCTAAGGCACAGACGCCAGCTTTGACATTTTCATTCAAACTGGTTTTATATATAACATTTTCACATCTTAATTACTTGCGGTTATAAACTAAGCTTAAGACCCGTGCACATTACCTAACTGAACTAGAGGCTAATTTTTGTCCGGACACAATTACAGAATAATCAGGGATGAACGCGCTGGAAGCCTGCGTGGTTCACCTGTTCAGGCGAGCTGGCTGAAGGCAGCTCGCCACCATGCAGACACATGGCACAACAGTAGAACTTAGACAATGAATTAATTGGTGTTTGTCACTGCCTTCAGCGAGGGGGAGCGTGAAGAGCAGACACATTCGGAAGAGTCTCTCCAGCACTTCGCAGGCTTTTTTGGCAAAGGCTGGCCTCAACCAATTAATAGCGCGTGTTGGATCTGTCAGAGGCAAAATGGCTTCTGAAGAGAGCTTCAGCGTGGGCCCGTTTCCTCGGCATCTCTCAACACCTTCCCATTTGTCAACTCTCCAGTCTCACTGAACGATGCCTTATGTTCCCGGTTTGGGTACCAGCTAGCCAATTAACGGCCACTGGAGATAACAGCAAGCTGAGGTGCAACGGCAGTGTCAAACCAAAGCAACAAAAAAAAGACAAGTCTATACCCAAAGAAGCAAGTTCATTCATGTCACGCTCCTTCCGCTGGAAGGATTACAGAGAGGTGAAACACAGATAGAACAAACATACAGACAACACACACTTACACAGCGGGAGTACAAACTGAACAAAACTCCTTTTACCGCTTTTTGCGCCAGCTCTGCAGTACGGTGATTCACTGGCACAGCCCAGAAAACCCCATCCACCTCTGTGCTTCCACACACTGAGGTGGGACCCCCTGAGGCTCTCCATACTGGAGAATTACTTTAGGTTCTCCGTTATCCCGTAGCGCTTCAGAGGAGCCACTTTCTTTACTTAAAGGTAAAATTTCATAGTCATGCTGAAACTTTGTTGAATACAAATGAAAAATGGCCTTCGGGAGTCATTCATCGCGTCTTTGCATCTTGACCTGATCTCAAGCATGTCAGACTCTTTCTGAAAAAAACGTGTACGTAGCCCAAATGGGTAAAACTTGCCAGTCTGCTTGTCCTGAACTAAACCAGACCATTTGGAGAGCGCCGCAAAGGCGGTAAGAAGAGTTCTGCAGGGGCCGTGAGGAGGAATGGAAGGAGAGGTGAGTGCCAGAGCCCTGTTGACGAGCCACGTGGGCAAACTCATGAATGAAACGGGAACATGATACCCCCCCCACCGCCACCTACAAAATCCACCGCTAGCCAGTACACAGTAAAGCAAGTACTTTACACCTTCGTGGCTAACCTTGGCGTACGGCCCTGCCAGACTCCCTTGGTGATGAAGAGCCCCCCGCCACAGAGCAGCAATGACACCAGAACAAGACATCACAAGACACAGATACATTCTCGGCACAGTCTTACATTCTCCAAAACTCGTGGAATTGATTTCTCTCTCTCTCTCACCCTTGCTCAGTCCAGTTGCAGGCGAAGGTGACATAGCTGTAATATTAATTTTACAGTTTTGCAAAGCTTAATGTATCTGCTTTCTTGTTAGTTCATTTAATTAATTTTGACTGTATGGATCATGTTAGGCTTTCATGCATAAATTGCTAAGGTTATAGCTACTATGGATTATGACATACTAAATTCACATCTGTTTGCACATGCCTGTGTACGTGTGGATATAGAATACACATACATATGATTTATACATTTATGCACATGCATGCATATATTTGAAGAACTCTGTTCTCTCCGAGAGGAAGAACGTCTTTGAAAACACCTTAAAAATACTTTTCTACAAAAAAATTTCCACCATCATGAGACAGTTAGTTTTCCAAATGGAAATATCTTTTTCTAACATTAAAAGAAATTCTAAATACATGGTGATGAACAATGAACACAGTGCTTAATTAGAGGTCATTTTAATCAAGCTTTCCTATACAAACTTCAACAATTATCTAACACGTTATATATTAAAAAAATTTTGCCCAGTGTGGTATCAGTTTCGAAGATGGATTAAAAGATAATCAGTATGAGTTTGCTTTAGTCACTAGCTCATTTGAGGCAGCAGCACTTTCAATGACTCATAGCTTGGCAAGGTACAAAAGTTTTTAAGACCCAAATTCAGCAAAATATACATAAGGACAAGTCTGAAATTAAGAGTGAATAGTCTCACTGAAGCTGATGGAGAGTTTCAGTGTTGAAAAGTCCTGTGATTTAGCCATAAATCTCATGGGATTCCATCTTTGCAGCAAAGCCCTGTTTCCTAAACTATCCCACTGCAGAAAAACTTCAGTTTTTTCTGTCTTTTCCTTTTAAACAACCCTTTTGGTGGCATGGATAGCTTTCAAAAGATGGCTTCAGCACGTTCTCGACAAGATGACCAAGTTCTGACACTGAGGTTTGGGGAAGCTGCGATGCCTCGACTGAGCCACGGACCAGGCTGGTGCCGGACGAACACCAGCAAAGTCTGCCCATGACCCAGCTCCGTAACAGCTCGGCAGCCTCTGCTGCTCACGCAACGTGCTGCAGATACCACAGTCCTTGTTAGCAAGACATTCTCTAAGGGCACGGACACATCTGTGTGCCCAAGTGTATGACCGTAACTGTTTGTCTCCTATTAATATAATAAAAGGACATAACCCTACCAAGGGCATTTACTAATTATCATCTTTAAAGTCAGTCTGATCAGAAGGTGGCTGTGATTTCCTGAGAGTATTTTTCTTTTCTATTTTAGGGAGAAAGTATCTAATGTTTGGTATCATTGTGCAAATATTTTTAATTCTATGTAATTGCTGGTGAGTGAACACTACACACCGGGGTCAAGATTTGTTTGTATTATTTTAATTAGATTTGGGGAGAGAAAATCCTACCAAATAAATTATGTGCCTGAAAATAAAATTCAAATATTAACGATAACTTAGAATATTTTAAAAGCTTTAAAAATTATCTATCGTGTTCTGCTTCACTTTTAATTAAATGCTTAAGCCCTTCAAAGGGATTCATTAACACATCTGCAATTCAGATTAATTCATTTTGTCACTGCTGTTTTGACAGATGGCCATATGTAGGATACGGTATTTTGCAAAGCAATCAGGCCACATGAGAAAAATTTGACAACAGATTGTGTTAATCTTTAAGTAAGTTTAATAATACATTGAAAAATAAAAAGCATATTATAAAAATATATTTTCAATAAAACAGTGCGAGATTTCAGAATTGCGGTTCTCTGCTAAACTATTCAATTGCTGTTTCTCTCGCCGAGTGCTCTTCACTTATGTCAGTCCTGGAACTGCTTCAGTTTTTAAACCTTAAGCGTTTGTCCTTCTCTGTGATTCATGTACACAACTCCCACTAGCAGCAATGAGTTACCCACAAGAGGAGCTCAGGCAGCTTAAACTTAGCACCAGCAAAGAGTGTATTTATTATCGCCACCAAATGATCTGTTTTCAGATTCACTTAACACAAAGCCGGCTATTCTCAAAAGTCTTAATCCAGCAAAGAGTTGCGACTCTGGGCCAGATTGCAGCACAGCATTTGAGCTCAGCCTTAGCCTTAAAGCATCCAAGTTCCTTTGGGTTTACAGCTTGAAAATAAGCTTCCTTGGATCGGTGCCCAAGCACTCAGCACCTTGCAGGCCTGATCCCCTCACCCAGGGGAGCTGCATGTGAAGGAACTTTAGCCCGCATTTGTTGAATAAAGTTGCAGTTCTCATCTGCTGCCACTCAAACTGAGTCCAGACACAGTTATGGAGCCATTGCTTAGCTTTGCATTATTAATCCTAGCTTAATTTATCTTCCTTTCTTTTTCTTCCCCTAAACAGGCAACGTCTGTGGCTCTCCTCCGCAGAATCAGAGTACTTCCTGATATTAAGATGCATTGGGTAAGTCAAAATACACGCTTTTACAAAATTATGGGTTATCTGGCACTTTTGAAACAAATTGTGCTCTACCAATGGCTTCAGTGAGACAAGTCACTTAAGTCAAATATAGTCTTTTTTTTATGAAATACTGATCCAAAGAGTACTCAAAGAAAGGAAGAACGCATTTTACCAATTCTGAAAAATTACAACGTTGCCTGTGTGCTTTCCATGTCTACATTATTATTATTAATGTTAATAACAGTGGGATGCACTCCCAGTGAAAAAGGCAGTAGGTAGTCATTATAGATTCAGTACTTCTTACAAACATCCTGGAGATGATGTATTCATATAGTGAATAAAGCCTCTTTATATTATTGTTTTTAGATGAAAAAAAAAATCTGTCTGGGCTGGGGCTAATGAATTCACCTTCTTGTGCCAACTGCACTTGAAAAATTGCCCTATCTTCTCTGTATACTCACCAATTACAGAAATGGGATGAAATAAAACACTTAAGATGATCTAATGCTCTAAATTTCTGTCTTTTTTTTTAACTTCATCATACACTTCAACACAAAGTGTTGTCGCTGGTTTTCAGTCCACGTGTTGAAAAACCCGGCCTCTCAAAAGAACATTTTATAACTCTTTTTCAGGTTTATTAAAATTTAAGGCCATGATTCAACAGTGAGCAAGCCCTGGACTGGGCAGCAGGGAGAGCTGAGAGAGCTGAGCTGTGGCTCCTTGGGTAGTGGGGACTTCCAGGACCCACCAAAAGCCACAGTTATTGGATGCATCAGCCAATCTCAGCACTGGCACTAGGGTCACATCCTCCTGCCACCCTTTAGATATTCATTTAGTTGCGCTCACACCTTCACCAGAAGAATGCAGAGAGAGTCACACCTAGCACCCAAAGCTATGAACGTCATGGGAGAGGAGATGCTAACCTCAGTCCCAAAGCCGAAGGGATCGGGTGCTCATGTAAAGAAGAAAGCAACGATACGACTGTGTCACCATCAGCCAAAGGCGGCACTGGAGTTAAACTGAGCTGCAGCTGGGTAAAACCGCAGAGAACAGCACATGTGGAGCAGACAGACAGTGAAAACAGAGGCCCAGGGAACAGCGTCTCCCATCCTGCAGTCTGTGGTGCTCCATGTCAGCAGAGCTCCTTACGAGCAGTCTGAGAGCCACACAGCCAGTGCTTTGGCAACACTGGGAAATGAGTCTCAAAGGGATGATTCACTTTCTAAGGTGAGCAGCCATCAATTGCCCACTTTTCATGCGGACCAAACACAGGAAAAGAAACATGGTGGCTCACCCAAAGCTCCCAGGGCAGAAGAGGCTCAGGGTTTCAGCTGTGAACCACAATTTCCAATTACGAGATGGTGAGAGGGACAAAAGGTGACCCTTGGTGAGGGAAGGAGGAGGAGCTGACCACTGACCTCTAAATAAAACTACCAGTCACACTTTGGGATCAGACCATGACCAGAGACAGAGCATGTCTAACACCTTTTTCATTCAGACTATATCTTTCTTGGTTTTCTTCACCTTTCATTAGGCACAGCAAAGCCATGTCACTAGGTAAGAGTGCAGGTTAATCCCCAGGGAATGTGCTTCACTGCAGCTAAAGGTCAGAAATTCATAGGCTCTTGGATGCTTCTACTGGCACATGCTTACAAGGAGATCGACCACATCACATTTCTGCCATTCTCCAAAACTCCTCTATCTACGAAATCAAGAAATCTCAGAAAACACCTTCCTGGGAAGGAAATGGCAACGGAACAAAAAGGTGGTAGAAAAGCACTGATGCTCAAACAGGTAGGTCTCATCTGGTAGAAGAGGCAGGAGATAAAGGTCTGAAGCAACAGAAGAAGATCAGCCTCACTACAGAGATGCTGGACCATGGAAAGGTGAGACAAGGAAGCTGAAGCGGTGTAGCAGATCCCAGTCTAGCAAAAGGCCCAAGCAGAGCGGATTGTGGCGCAGGGAGAGATGGGGTGGGGGAAACCGGCAGGTCAAGAGACAATGAAAAGGTCTCTGGAAGGGCTCTAATCACAGACAAGGATAAAACCTCTACAAGATACCTGCAGCCACTGAGGAAAGAGGGAGGATTTAGCACATGGTGTTGGCGATGGACACAGACAGGCGACTGCCTGCCTGTGCACTTCAGGATTTCTCCAGCTCAGCCTCAGGTTTTATCAGGAAAGACAGGCAGGAGTTAAGGCTGCTAAGCTGATACTGACGACTAATTAGTATGAGTTAAACAGTTAATTAGAAATTAGCAAAGTAGCTGCAGGGGGTCAGAGGCAATGCCAGCACAGTGCCTATGGAACCACGTGAGCTGAGCAGGGGTAATGCCGGTGCCACGGGACAGCCTCAGCCTTGTCCGTCTGGGCAGGAGGAGGAGGAGCTCTGCCTGCAGCTCTGCCGGGCTGAAAAGCCACTGTCCCTCAGCTCTTGCCCATTTTTCCTATTTCAGCGAGATGCATGTGCAAGTTCCATCACTGCACTTCTCCGTGGATCAGCACGACCTGGCTTAAGAGCCCGCAGGGTCAGTATGCCTAATCCCTGGGGAGGGAAGCAGCGCACAGAAGCTGAGGCATCTACAAACTGCATTGCTGAGACATTCAATCCAAAGAGATGCATCTTCAGCCAAGAAACTGTGACTCATGATTTAATTTTTCCAGGACATAAGATTTCAAAGTGATTCATTTAGTCAGAAAAAAACATTCTGGGATAATGTTAATTTCATACTGGTTTTACCAATTTCCAGTTAGCAACAATAAAATTGAACTCCAGGTGATACTCTTACAGGACCAAGACTTTGAAGCTCCCTTTTCTGGAATTAAAGTGACTATTGCTTTTGAAAATGAACCTAGTACTCTAACTCTTTCTTTAAGAAGCTTTTACAGATTCAATCATCTTCAGCATTGCAATTAAAGCAAAGCTAGTGTGTTTATTTTGTTTGCAGAAAAGCAGCTAATTGAGACCATATTTATAGTCTTGGAGCAGAGTCAAAGCCCTGATGAACTATTAGCCAAGTGTGCAGATTATTAATTGCCGTAAAAGCCACTTACAATATGCATTTGATATCTGTATTGTTAAAGTGTCCACTCTGGTCAAAGTAAAATGGCTCAGCTGTATTTTCTCCTCCCTAGGGTGAGAATGGAAAGCATCTGATACGAATTTCAGCAAACTAAATACTTCCCTTTCTTACTGAAAATCCTATGCGTATCAGACAATGAGTCTTAACCTCAAAAAAAGAGTTCAGGATCTGGATATCAAAGTTGGAAATTCTCCTTCAGACTAACTTAAAAGCAAAACAAAAAAATAGGGGAAAAGATGGTCTTTAATTTTAAAGGGATTTTTCATATTAAGCTTTGGTCTAAGTGCCCTTTCCTAGAGATGATCTAAATTCATTCCTCATCAGAGAGGAAACTGCACCTCTATCAAGAAGATGTCATTGCCAGATACCAAATTAACAAACCGAAGCCTTATATTTTCAACATAAATCTAAAAGATTCAGTTCTTCACAAAGAAAATATACAGAGAGCAGCCGCCAGAGCCGTAGCCTTAGCAACCACACCTGCTTCATACTCACGTCGGCTTTCATACATGCTCCTGGACTGGGCCCAGATTTTGAATGGATCTGGCTTTTTCTGCCCAGAACTGTCCGGTTGATCCGCAGCCGGCGCCTCCGCGGCGGTGTAGTCCGGCAGCACCTGCGTGCTGTGAACGGGGGAAGCAGTGTGCCCGCTGCGGTGGCTGGAGACGCTATGCTGAGAACTGTTTTGGCTGTCTTTCCTTTCAAGTGGTTGCTGTAAGGAAGAAAGCGAGTGGAAGGAGAGAGAACAGACGGTTATTGGTCTTTGAGTGGGTGTTTTCCATCAATTTTTCTCTCTTCTTTGATCAGGGTTTCTGCATGCACATAAGTAAATATATAAATCATAGTTTTGCTGCCACCAGTTAATGCTGGGTACAGTTAAATTCCCCGATGACAGATTTTGATAGGCAGAATGACAGAAAGAGATATGCAAAACAAAGTAATCCATCATAAAAAAATACGCAGTTCTCCATCTCACACATAAAACAAATCTAAATCTCATTATAGGTTACTAGTTTCAGTGCACTTATTTTTTCATACACTAAGGTAGAAAGACTCAACAACCTTCTATTCAGACAACACAAGGGACTAACTTGAGCCTGCAAGAAAAAGGAAAAACTACCCAATTTCACTGTGAAAACTTAAGCAGTCCCTCTGAAACAGATGCAAGCACAGCCTTTACTATGAAAGATCACTTTTCCTCTGCAGCTCTTGCAACCCCCACATCACAAGTGGGTGGTCAGAGTACCACTTCCATGCCTCTGCTTCCCAGTGCATCCACAAGATTACAGACCTTCATAAATATGAAAACGTCTATCTACAGTTTGATTTCCTTGTTTTAATTGAGCATATTAAAACAGGAAAAAATACACTTAAATTCAAGGCTTATTCAAAAGCAGTATGTCTAGAGCTCTGCCTGCTCAATATTTAGCTAAGCAGGGTACATAATTCTTAACTCAAATTCACAACGGTGTGCTCAAATGAAGCACAAGTCACATTTGCATTGCCAGGCTTTGTACTACTCAACATGCAGCAAAATCCTCCCTCAACAAGAGCTCTCCAAACTGTACAGCAAATGCTTTTTAATGCTCTTTTGAGATGACCTTGGGATGGCACTAAGGTTGAGGCCAATCTCCCACCTGCTCTGGCACAGGGAACTGGCATGTTCCCAGGGCTGATGTGACGCAGAAAGAGGCCGGAAAAACAGCATCCTACAGGTTGTTTTTACAACATCCACGATTTCCTGGCTAAAAGGGGTCAGCCACTTGTACTGAGAAACCTCAGACAAAAATTTAAAGCCTCCTGCTGGCAGGGGGTACCTGAAAACATTGCAAGAGGAGTCTCTGCTTTGAGGGACTTCTCCATAGAAAGCCAAGCAGGAGTAGGGAGAAAAGCCAGCAGCAAACACAGAGCAGATTAGCATGGGGGGCTGAAGTGCACAGAGGTCTGGAGACCCCCTTCTTTACTCTGAACACGAAACCCCAGGTGGCCAATGCTCCATCATAGCAGGGTTGAGATCATCACAGAGGAGAAAGTCACCTTATGGAAGTGCTCTCTTTTCTGAGTCTTAACAACACCCTTTTCTGGTTTTTTTAAGTTGCACATATTTTTACCTTTACACTGAGAAAAAAAAACCAGCTCCAACAGCCCAAATGACTTTGACCTCACAGCCTTACATTCAAGTTGTTGATCCACTACCATCATTTTATAAAACGGTATCTTGATCGACTAGAATGTGAATTGCCTTTGTCCTTTAAAGTAATTTTGAACAAAGCATACCTGCTGTGATTACTCATCTGCAGACTTTCAAATACAAATATCTGAACCAATTTCAAACATTTTCAGCTTTTTAAGTGGTAAAAGAAGCTAATTCACACGCACCCCTTCAGTTTTTAAATGAAGCAGTTTTAAAACATCTATAATACTGTGGATAATCACTCCTTTGTGACTTAAAAATAAAAAAAAAAAGAAAAAAGAAAAAAACACTTTACAACTCTCGGTCCAGCCATCTGGATTGCTTTGTTTGTTTGGTCAAACTACTAAAATAACTACAAGCATCCTGTGAAACTTCAGGCCAATCTCACTGGAAATAGCCGGTTTACAGAAGTTGGAGTACAGGGACTAAAATGTGCAGCTTTATTCAGCCCTTGGGGAAATGTTGAGAATTCTCTGAAAACTTTATGATTTAAAAAACTGCCAAAGTTTGAACTTTAAAAAGTGCTCTCACTTTATGATATGAAAGGTCTAAATATTGAGCAAACTATGAATTCTGTTTCATATTTGGGTTGCAAACAGAAGTGTCAGCATATCTCAAGCAAACCACCTCTAATTAAACTAGAGTTGCAATTGCAAATACACAGACATTTTGCAAGAAACAGAGGAAAACTTCTTCAGAGGGACAATTGTTTTTCCAGACAATAACCCCCTTCAAAAAGCCTGAAGCATCTGTTTAGGAGTTCAAGAGGGGAACAGAGAAAGGGGAACACAACCACGGAAATAATGAATATACATAATTAAATCAATTCAAGACGGTGTTAATCCACTTTCACATTACTAGATGAGGCCAAAAAGGTTTGGGGCCAAACTTGTTTTCACGTGCTGTAGCAGCTTCAGCCCATCAGCAGCAGCAGGACCTGCAGGGGTCTGACCGCCCTGCTCTCTGCAGCGCCCCTGCAACGGGGACTGCCCAGATGAAGAAGTTTGTGCTTTGGTGCAAAGGTGGAGATTCCCAAGAGAGATGAGCTGATCAGAAGCCAATAAAAGGATGATTTCTCTATCTCCTGCCTTGTTCCTAGAGTTGGGGCTGATCCTCCTGGGTCCAGATCTGACCGTCCAGCTCACTCAGCTCTCACACGGCCAGGAAAGCAGCTAAATCACGGCCAGATGACCACGGGGCTGTTTGGTGACAGCCTGCTGCAGAGCAGACAGTTCAGCCCTCACCCCTAGATGCTGATCATGTTTTTTCAGTGCAAAGTAAAGCCGATCAGCTGAATCATGTTGATTTCTGCCAGTAGCTACAAGAGCATGGGGCTCTGAACTACCCAAGTCAGCACCCTTGACCCTCCAGAGTCTATGGTCTTCTTCAGAACTGTTGACAAGTATAAGTAGCTTGCCAGAAAGACTCTTGACCAAACATGGCCAGAAATCAAGACTACAATGACTACCTTGAGTCCATTTAGGCAGAAGGCACACTTAAATATAGGTGATGGGAAAAACCAATCACCTTAGAACTGTATTGCAGCCATGACAAAACAAATATGTGGAAAGCTGGAGCTTCTCGCGCCCAGCACAAGCCCCAGGTCTGAGATGCATGGCCTGTGCCAGCTTCCCTGCACCCTTGCTGAAACTTCGCAGTGCTCATCCAGCAAAACATAAGGTGAAGAAATTGTGGTACTGGGAAGAAGGCCTTTTCTAGCTGCCCTTTCCCCACTGGCTGAGGTTAACAGGAACATCAGCGTGGCTTAGATTTCCGAGCGCAGCTGGGCAGGGGGGCAAGTGCCACAGAAGAGGGGGCAGCAGCAGTCAGGGTTTGGGCATACATCAGCCTTCCAGGATTTCTTCCCCCCACTGTGCAATCCCATTTTCAGACACATGCACTGCATTTGCCAACCTGAAAGGCGGCCTCTCCCTCAGCAGAGAGGTTGAGTGAGCCCACACTGAGCACTACACTGTCCTCTGATTACGCGGAGGGAAGGAAACAGCAAAGGTGATGTGAGCCGGGGAGATTGAAGCTGTTGTGTTTCAAAGAGACAGCAGGAAAACTGCTTACAAAAGTCTCCAAGTGCCTGGAAAATGCTAGAGATACCCACATAGCAGAGATCAGTTTGTCATTCATGCTAAATGAAAGAGTAATTAGATGTTACTTTGTACAGTGACTGCCAAAATGACCGAGGCCCATGACATGGCTGAGAGGTGGCTGCAGGCAGGGATGGGACACTAATTATTAGCAGCAGTTGAGTATGTCTGTGTCAGGCAGAGAGAAACCTGCAGCAGAAGAGGTGACAGTAGCAGGGAGCACATCCTGCGGCATGAATGGACACCAAAGCTTTTCGGCACGGGATTCTCCAGGCATAAAACTGCAACAGAGAAGAGTTGCTGTGGTTTCCTCCCACTGCATTTAAGATGGGAGCAAAAAAGGATCTCTGAACGAAGAGGGGTGTGTTGTACAACCACTGATGCTGTGGAACCAATTCCTCCTGCCGACAAGAACAGGACCTCGGCAGAGCCCCAAGTGCTGCCTATCCACCCAAAATACGTGGCAAGTCTCATGTCAGGGACAGGCTGTGCATCCGAATTGCATTTTTGGCCACAATTCAGTTATGCTGACAATGTATTTATTTACGCCCAAAAGAAAAATTAGATTTTTGGAAGAGCTTAGCACTTTCTTCCCCCTGCAGTGATCCCATCTTCTGACAATCTAGCTGCAGATTTCGTGCACAAGAGTATTTTGGAGAAGCTGGTCCTGGCAGCAACAGCAAACTGAGCTGGAAATGGGAATCTTTGCCCCCTTGTGGACTGTTTTGATGCAAGGAAAAAAAAAAAAGAAAAAAAAAAGTTTGTTTTCATCCATGATATACCAGCACAATTGCAGGGGAAATTGCTATATTAGAGAACTTGCACATTGAAAATGTGTATCCTCAGACGGTCAATACAAAAATATTATCCATTTTCATCTAAAAAAGAATCAATGGGAAACTGAAAACAAACAAGCAGCACAGAGAGCTACTGTGAGCATGTCCTTGGGAGGGGGGAAGGGGGAAGAAAGGCCTTGGAAGTGCCCAGTCCCATGCACGGCTGTGAACTTTCTTTATCGATTTGGCTCTTTCACCGAGGTTGAAAAAATCTTCTTAAAAACTGAGAAAAAGAGCAAAGCTCATCAGAAGATACACACAGGCTGAAAAATACAGCCCAGGGAAACTGAGCTCAAGGCAGAAAAATATCCCCAGACCGTGCCGCAGCCCCAGCACTAACAAACCTCTCCGAGGGGCTAAAACACCTCCTCCCAGCTGGGAGGGCTCCAACAGCCTGAAGTCAGCTTTTCGGGAGCACAGGATTGGGGCTGCTAGCTAAAAATAGGGCTTGTTTGAGAAAGAGACAGCTGTTGGCAGCAAGTCAGGAGTGCGCCCAGGCTTTGGGAAAGGATACGAGGTAAAAAGAGAGGGCTCATCACTGCACTGAATGAAGGAGTCGAGGACGGACACCTGAGCTCGTGTCTTCCCCCATGCTGCAGAAGCAGCAAAGAACGAGCATGAGTTAAGATCAGGCCAACTGCTCCAGCCTGGAGGTACGCTGTCCTCTAACTGCAGCTAATTTATTAATCAGGGAATGCTGGAAAACACTCCACCCACATCAGGCAAAGGGAGCTGGGGAAACAGGCATCACGTCCAACCAAGCCCCATAGCCAAGCGCTGGGGAGAGCCCGTGGGCGCACAGCTCAGCCAGCAGCACCCACATCCATCCGACAGCCACAAGTCCCTGGGAAATGCCAGGGCAAGGTGCAGCAAGATGCCGTGCCAGCCGGGGAGTGTCCCAGCAGGGCAGCCCTGGCTCTCCCCTGCCAGGACAAGAGCAAGAGGGAATCTTCATGGCCAAGAGGGCTGGGCTCCCCTGGCCCCGCAGCTGAGCAGCAGCCCTGCAACTAAACCAAGGGAGGAAGGTGTTCAGCAAAGCCACAGCTTTTATGCTTTTGACCATCGCCTTGGCCACACGAGCTCTGGTGTTGGAGCAAATCCATCCCAGAGAGCGCAGAGGACAGTCGCCACCTCTGCACACGGGTGCCCCGAGGCACTTTGCTCCAGGTTTCCATGCATGTCACCGATGCTGGGGAATGAAGAAGCGGCTGTACCAACTCTGACGCTCTGCTCTGCCCCTCCGAGGAGCGGCTGGCTGGTCATTAAAGCTGCCGCACAATGCGGCAGTGTAAAACATCGCTGCTAATTGCCGACGCAAATGATCCGGCGTGCAGCAGGGGGAATACGAGGCTCTGCTTTTTGTGAATCCTGCACTTTAGAGGCAACAGCACCGCCTAGGGTCATAGTAAAAATAACTGGAGGGACCCTAGAGCAAGGCGAGAGGCATTTGGGAGAGGCATGAGAGGGAATGGGGCTGCTTTCCCAGGGCTGCCTGGCTCCTTAAAGGAAATAGTAGGGGGAAATCTGCTGTTGCAGAGCTACACCTGTTTGCAAGCAAGTCTCTTTGTTCATCAAGGCAGAACTATCCCGACACAGATTTAGATGCTGCTCAGATTTTCACAGTGCATCGCTGCCGACCAGAAAGGTGTCTGACATGGCAGGATCCCGCTTCACCTGATGCCAAACGTGTGTGTGGCAAAGTGGAAGCCTCCAAGCTTTGAAAAGACCGAGACTCATTGATCGGGGCCGGTTTAATGACAGAAGTCGGAGTTTGGATGGAGTGCAGCCACTCCTGCTCCAATCGGGGGAAAAAAAGTGCAGGCAGAGAAAAGAAACGTGCCAGACGCGTATGTATTTTACACACTCACTTCTGTTTCACCGAAGGCTGAAATAATCTCCGTGTATGACAGAAGCGAGCGTGCAGGGTCTGACATGCCTGTGATTTGCGAGGGAGCACACCCCGCACTTCTGCCTCTCAACATTAATGCGAGCTGACAATGGTAGAGGCCTGAGCTCACATGACTTTAATCAGTGCTGCCCTAAGCCATCAGAATCACATTAATTATTTCAGGGCTTTTTTTTTTTTGGATGAACAGAGAACTTGTATTAAAAGCAGGAGCCTTCTGCTCAGCCCCTTCATAAACCTCTTGCCCAGGTTTGCAGCGAGGCGGGCTGCGCCCAGCTGCAGTTTTCGGCACATCGGGGACTGTCGGTGAAGTTTCACACCGTCTTACAACACGGCAAAGACCTCACTCGCTCTGCTTCCCCAAAGCTTCTGGGAGAGAATTCTCTTTTTTCCTCCTCCCTCTCAACAGATAGCTGGAAACTTTCAGGCTTCAAGTATTCCATTTCCTTTATAAGTACAGCATTTCTTTTTGTTGCATACAAATAGCACATTAATTTCTTCCACAATATCATGCATGGAGCTTTAATGATACTTTAGATCACAGCTTCCACGCTATTAGCTAACGTGTCATCCAGGTAACAGCTTCACATGGAAATAGGATCAGAAGGGACAAGAAAGCACTGTTCTGTTGTGGAGTGTGGGGTTTTTTTTTTAAATAAGGAAGCTCACACCTGCAGCACAATCCTGGTCACTCGGACAGCTAACTGTATTCCCTAGGAACCATAATCATGCTCATGCTTTTTATCTCTTGACAAGGTGTACGCTTTCCCATTCTGTTAATAATTCAGACAACGGTACTCGAGAAAACTCAGGGAGTTAATGGAAAAGGTTGGTGCCTATGAACACCCGACAGGAATTGCTGTCTGGCAAGAAGGTGGAGCCTCCCAGCTTTCCAAAAGGAAACAATAGCTTTTTTTTTTGGTAAGTTAAACGACAGAGAAGCTCATCTGTCAGGGAAGAGGATCCGTAAACCTGAGGCTTTATTTGCAAACAAGTCCCCTTCCGTACTGCATTCCTTTTCATCTCCCCATGCAGCAGGAGCCGTGCAAGGTAATCATGGTTGCAATAGAAAGACAACTTAAAACAATCGAGACCCACAAAGAAAACAAACCAAACTCATGCCTTTCTCCTTCAAAGCAGACAAACAGACAAAAATAGTAGCTGAAAAGTGCTTACCGACTTTGGGCTCTTCTTTGGGACCGGCAGTCCTGAAAAATGGCAACAAGGGAAAAATAAACATTAGCATCTAAACGTTACCTTCCCTTAAAGAAAAATCCCTAGGTGTATCATCCGAACGTAGCCATCTGCAGAGTTATGTCAGCTTTCGCTCTCGCATCGGAGTTACCAGTCTGTTCATATCGAATCAAAGCCCAGGGAGAGGGAGAGCGAGCGAGAGACGGGAGCGGGGAAGAGGGAGCGGGGGGAGAGCTCTATCTGCATTAGCTATGCTGACTTGTGCTGCCGCAGCCGGGAGGCTGGGAGAGAAACCCACAGCCCTCAGCGCCCGCCGGAACCCAGCGCTTGGGCAGAATCTCAAATGCTCCCCTGGATTACGGGAGCCTTAGCTTACAATTAAGCTGAGGCTATTTCCTTTTGACGCGATCGCCTCGGCGATTTTATCGGACCAATCGCAGTGGTGCAGGGGGAACAGGTTGATTTTTTTAAAAAGTATTCCTCTAGAAACTGATTTTTGAAAGGAAAACGTTCATCGGCTTGAGCCAGGAGGCAAGGGCAGGGCAAAAGAAAACAAAAACACAAGGAGGAATAAGCTTTTATCCCTAAAAACGTGAATGTTACTGAGAAAACACGCGTTTTCCTTCCTGTCCATCCTAAGTGTAAATCTTTGAAGCCAGAGATTTTATCTGTTAGTTACAATTTCAGAGAGCTGAGGCTTGAAAACAGCACTGCAAATGTCCTGACCCTTGGGGGGATGCTAGGGCGCGCACAGAAGGGGGGCTTACACAGGTTGCAGTCGATGCGAAGGAAGAAACAACCGGGAGGGCACGAGAGAAGGTTTTTTCAAGGACAGTTTTGCATTTTGGAGCAGCCTCTTACTTGCTCTGTGATAGGCAAGAGAACTCAAGTGGGATTTCTATTAACTACTTCTGCATACAGTCCAAGTCCCAGCAGCAAAGGAGACACTTGTCTGGGGGATTTACCTACAGCACAGGAAAGGCTCTTTCCTGGGCATTTTGCAAATCACCTTTTCTTTTTCCTCCACTGCTGGAGGAGAGGGAACTCCCCATATTTTGTTCTGTGTGACACTCCAGAAAACAAACATAAACCAAAACAGAAGATTACACTCCACATTAAGAGCTCAGTAATTCAGATGTTTGAAATCTGCTTTTGTCTTTAGGATGTGATTTATGTGGCATTTATGCCACATTATGTTTTCTACTTTATGCATTTTGTTTGTGCTAAAACCCATGCCCTCATCTAACTTTTACACAGAGAATAAAATAAGTGATGCTAGCGAATTACAAATCTGTCTAGGAAGAAGCTCATTTTAAGGTAATTTGGGAAATGTTAGTTCTGAATAGGGAAGATCCACAATTAAAAATGATAAACAGAGCTCACTGCTGCCTGCTCACAGACTGGGATGCAAACTGTAATGAATATTTTAAATGAAGTATTTTCAGCTTTTGAGGAATATCTCTGCTTTGCCCTTCACTGATGCATTCCCAGCCAATAGCTGATACCCCTCCAGGCACTGATTGATCGAGGGACAAGGAAACATCAAAACTGTTTGAACTAAACAATCAAGACTGCAGCTTCATTTCTGCTGACGGTGACTATGTTTGTATAATACACTTAAAAAGGAAAACGCTAGTAACATTCATGGCAAGTCACATTTTTAACAGGCATCATTTATAACAGAGATAAACACATAGATAGAGATTCTCCCTCTCTCTCCCCTTCCACATGCATGCACACACATTCATCCTCCCTTTCCAAGAGATGCTCTTTCCTATTAAATCAATAGGTAGAACAGATTCCCATGCACGCACGCACCCTTAACAGAGCAACATGAGACAGAAAAGGTATTTCAGCAATTTAAATGTTCCCCACAAAGAATAAAGGGGAGATGCAGCTGGGCTGTTGGTTCAAATTGTACCAGAATTCAGTTTATTGCATTGCAAGCATTAAATGTTAAAATTTACTAAGTACGAACTACTGAACAAACCTTTCCTTCAAAGTTTGTCATTAATTTTGGCTGTTCCAAGCCAAAAGAGATGGAAAATGGTTGAAAAATAATGGAAAACACATCAAGGCCACTGTTTGGCAGGTCCTTCAGAGGCCGATGAATCTTACAGTGTCATTGCTCTGTGCCAGACTTTGCTGCAGAACAAGCAGTAATTGACTTTTTACCAAAATAAGTGACTGCAGAACATGTTAATAGATGTTGGTAGTTTTTCATGGGACAAGCTTATCACGGGAATAACCTGCCTGTGCATCTTCCTGAAAAATGTTATTTGTTCATCTAACTAGGGTCTCATTTTAAAACCCCAGGTTTTGACGCAGCAGGCCAAATGAGCAAATGATAGGTATCATGCGCAGTTTTCATGCGCAGATGAGGGAATGGATACAGTATTTAACAGCGATGAAGATGAAGTACTTGAATATCCCCCAAATCCTGGCAGCACCACTAGCAAGAAAATATTGAACTTCACCAAAAAGCTTCTGGCACAAACAATTGCCCATGCCTATCAGTTTGGGATGGTAAGGACTCTGAATTACAACATTCATCTTTTGATTACATTAACCATGTCGCGCCACTGCTCAGACCACTGCTCAGGCCATGCCTTGCTTGGTATGCTCATCCTCCCAGCTGCCCCATTCTCTCCTGAAGCCTCACTGCAAGTTTTTCAGAGGTAAATGGGCCAAGCATGGACTTAATACCCAGTTTACATCTCTTTGGCATTGTCCCATTTGTTAGTAGTCAGAGTAAGGGCATTCCCATCTCTGGCTAAGAAAAGCCAAAAGGCTTCTCCACTGCTCTGCCCTCAATCCGATAATCAAATAGGAATAGTTTATATTGACACTGTTTGCAATATAATTCATGTGTGATTTAATGCCTATGAACATCTCTCACTAGTACTTGAAACATGTCTTCTAATTTTGGGGGGTTTTGGAGGTGCAAATTAGGGACAGTGGCAGTCATGCAACCAAACAGGGCTGTTGTCATCACAGAGTTAACAAATGTTTTAAAACAAATGAGCACATCTGGTAAACAATGTCAATATGACCTAAAACCCCTTGAATGGGCTCATTGTAGCTACTTACTAAATGTGCCTGGAATTAAATTAATTAGAAAGCACAAATTGCTCCCCTCTAAATAACAATGTAATAAAGCAACTGCTTAATGAAAAATATCAGTGATCAGTGAGCAATCCACAAGCACAAAAAAAAGGACTGTAATCAAACTAAATTCACAGCCTCGTCAGCAGGGCAAGAAAGGCTTCATACAAGGTTAGTCAAAAATGAGTCAGATGCAGGGATCTAAATTAAACTAATTATCACAGAGATTATTACATTTATCTTAACAAAAACCTCTCTTTTCTCCCCAGTACTCCCTAAAGCTCTATGTACAGCTGGTTGCATCCATCTGCTCAACTACGTTTTGTAACATAGGGGAAAAAATGCAAATCATTAAGCAAGTTTTGTACCATGACTTCAGCACTCTTAATGCCATTACCCATCAGGAGCAGTACTTCCGTTGCATGACGCTGTATTATGTTGTGAGTGATGCGGTCCACGAAGTAAGGCCACAACTCAGCTTATTTCCTATTATTTGGCATATGTCAATTTTGCAATCTTGTGCGGTAAAACTTTTGGAGCTGGGAAGCTGTAAGTTGCCTAACCCTGCCTACAACGAGTTTGTGGAAGAACCCATGGGACAAGACCGTGACCCCAAGTGTTGTTGTTTCTAACATGCAGCGGTCCTCCATGTTCACAGGAACGTTTTCCGAAATCTTTTGCCTTTATGCAACCAAAGTAACACGGGAAGACCACAACACACAGCAAATTCTGTTTTACTGAGCACATACAGAATGCAACGTGCGACTGCAAATCCATACCATAGCCTGGGCCTGATTCTGGCGAGAGCTCAGAAGGCCACAAATGCTCAAAAATTAACTAGATGGACACCAGACACATCACGCTCCGTTCCATAGCCCTGTGTTTTAGAGACAGTGGATCAAATGATTGAAAACTGAATTTGAAGGAAGACCTGTCTCTAGGCAGCACAGGAGTCATCCAGTCAACCCATCCGAACAGCCTGGTTATGTGAAAGCCAGCTGGCATGAACATTTCCCCCTCCACGACAAAAAAAAAAACAAAAACCAAAACCCAAAAAACGTTTCAATGGGATTTCAAATTAAGTTGGAACAATTAAGTACCAGTGTCCACAATCCACCCATAGAACAAAGGCACTTGAAACTGCTAAGAGGCAGTCCAGAAGCTTATTTTGCTTATTTATTGCTTACAACATCTGTGGCTACTGCTCAATGTTCTTCAGTTTTGGGGTGTTTTTGCACATGAAGGAAAAGAACAACTGTGTCTAGATCTTCACTTCTCACGATTGCTTAACACTTCCAATTTGGACACCTTGCGGACCGTCCCTATCCGACAGCTAAAAAAAAGCCATAGGTGAGCCTGAGTGAAAAGGTCACCCATTTGGTTTCGCCATTATGTCGTCTGCAGCCCAGAATGCACAACAGCTGAAAATTAGCAGGAGATGAATAAAACCACAAGAAAAGAAACATTTCAGACTGTGTCACAAGGTTAACATTTACAGAAAAAAATGTTCCTGCCTGGAAAAAAAATAAATAACAAGCTTTCTAAATACTGCAACTTACACTGTGCTGAATAAAACTCAAAGGCTTATATTGAAGAAAACAGACACTTTGAAAGATGAGGGGTAAAATACTGGAGTCAGGGGGTACACAGCCATACACCTGCCACTGCACATTGATCACCGCTTTTTGTGTGCAAAACAAGGAACTTTAAATAATTAACGCTAATGGCCATTAGTGCTGCTGGGGGGCAGGGGACGGGAGGTTGGTGGTGACAAAGCAATCCCCTTGATTCTGTATAATCCATTGCCAAAGAATTTCTAATAAAGGACAAATACTATCTAAAAAAATTAGATGGAATTTCATCATATCCAGACTGGAGAAAGAACAAGAAAACATTCCAGAACAATGTG